GGCGAAGCGCTGGTGGCACGGCGTCTCTGCTCGCTGGCTGCTCAGAGGCCATGTTGTGCGTCTGTAACCGTGGCTATCCATCCGGGCTCCTGCTGTCACGCTCCTCTTCCCTGCTCCCCTGACCTGGGCCTGTGGGTGCCAGCCCGAGGCCTCACTCCGTCTCCTTCGGCGCGGTGGACGCGGGGCATGCCGAGGAATGGGCCAGCAGCGCAAGCTGTCAGGGCGCCGCACAAGTGGTACAGACATCGCACGAGTGACGCTTTCCGGGACAAGTGCTGGGATGACAGGGCAAATTGCCATCATGCAGAGGGGCCGGGGGTCCTCCACTGTACGGAAAGTGGAGCCCTTCCCTCTTGCCTGCAGTCTTCTCCCTGTGCCAGGGGTGTTTGGTTGTCTCAAGGACACATGTTTTCCCCCTCTGCTTGGTCAGCCTGTTAGCGTAGCAGCGGCAGGGTTGGGGGGTTTGGTGCTGCCCGTCCTTCTGGAAGTCTCTTGGTTGAGCCTCAACCTCCTTGGCTTGGCTGCCTTTGCTGGTACTTGTGGCCCAGTCGGTTGCTGCTGTACTGGTGGCTTTCTGAAAGTAAGAGAAGAGGGTCCAGTCACTGCTCAGCTGCCAGCTGGATGTGTGTGTGTGCCTGGATATCAGGGTATCCCGAGTGTGCGTGTGCTCGCTGCGGTGCCATTCCCTGTTTGGTGAGAGGTGCCTGTTACTGCTTGTAGTGATGAAAGGTCTGCAGGGGTGCCTGTTACTGGTTGTAGGGGAGCTGGGGGTTCATGCGTGTATGAGGGGGGTGGTGCAAATGCAGGAACGTGGGGCAGCTGGTGTGGCCGAGGAGGATGCTGTTACGGCTTGTTACTAGACAGCACTGCAGGTCTTTTCCAGTTGGCAGTCTAGGCTCAGTCGGAGCCCAAGAAGATGTGTATCTGTGCGGGGGGTACCTTGGTTGTGGTGAGGAGGGAACTGAACATAAGTCTTCTTTTGAGTCTCTGAAGTGCATCTTCTGCAGTGCAAAATCCCGCACAGCCGACATGTGCAAGCAGGCAGGAGAAGTGCTGTGTTTCAGATCTCTGCAGCAGTCTCCAGTGACCGAGCAGGATTCGGTTGTGTAGTCCCAGTCCAATACAGCTGCCCTGAACTAAAAGGCCGTGTGGCGTCCAATAAAGTGGGTTAGACCAGCCTGCCCTCCCAGCCAGACACGTGGCTGGGTCTCCTCTGTGGTGATGGGTTGGGGGGGGTGTGCTGCCCCACTTCTGTGTCTGCCGTGGCTGCAGGATTTCTGGCTCTGAGGATACTGCATTTGCCTGCTATTCTTCTGTGGATAAATGCGGGAGGGGGGAGGTGGGGGTTGTGGATAATGGTGATGGTAGGAGGGGTTTGTTCCAGTCTGGACTGGTCCAGTCTAGTTCTTTCCTTCCTTCACCGTGTGAACAATGCTGCTGGTGCTTGCGACACAGAAGCCCCCTCCCATGCTGTGGTGATGAGCTCCCTTCCCTGCCGGCTCTGCTGCCCTAGGCCGAGACCCGCAGCCAGCCGGCCTGCTGCCCCCCTCCTGCCAGGCCTTCAGCTCGGGGGGAGGGCTGTTAAACCCCAGGAAAAGAGGGATCTTTGCAAGACTTCGGGAGAGGGAGGGTGTTTGGTGGTGAACAGCAGTGTTTCTCCTGTGGGGACAGTTTTACTGGAGGCAAGAGGGAGGCTGACTGCCCTTCAGCATGGCAGCCTGCCGCGAGGCAAGCAGATTCTGCCTCTCCCTGTGCCGGAAGGCTAGTGCAGGTGTGTGTTTGCAGCAATGCCAGGCTGTATGGTCTGGAAATTATTCCATCTCTCCAATTAAAGGAGAGACCGAGTGCTTTGGAAGGGAATTAAGACTTGTCCCTTCCTGAAAGGGAGGCTTAATTGTGTAATGGACTAATTTAGGTATAATGTTAAATTTCAGTTCAAAATGTTCATGTAGTGCAGGAGCAAGAGCATGGTTGACGGGAGAATTCCTCAGGGACCTGCGCTCCCCCAGAGACTGCCTTGCTGCAACGCCCTGGCCCCGATTTGGAAAAGGCCTATTGTATTTTGTGAAGCAGAGTAACTGTGGTGCCTCTGAATCTGTCAGTTGGTGTAAATGGGCATCATATTGCTAGATTTTTAGGGTTTGGTTCACAGATATTTTTAGCTCAGGTCACTAAAAGGGTCTCTTCTCAGAAATGGAGAGATGCAGTGGATCACTTTTTTTTTCCCTCAAAGAAAATAAATCAGTGCCTGGTTTTGTAGCCTTGTCTGTATCAGACATGGGGAGCTGAGGGGGCTGGTGAGCTAGAAAAAGCCTGGCCCTGACTGGCCTGCTGGCACTCATAGGGCTTGCCATGCGGATGCAGTTGTTCTGGCAAAAATATGCACTGTGGACGACTGGGGGGATATTTAGTTCTTCAGATGAGTGTTACTATTCAAGTACGAAGGTACAGCATTGCTGGTTGAGCTGCAATCAAACTTGAGGCACCTGCTAGTAGAGTGTACTGACGGATTATACATAAATACATGCATATAGGTGCCATGAGTACTAAAAGGCAAAGCTGTCTTGTCAATTATTCCTGAAACTCAAAGCTCGCTGTTTAGCAAAGAATGCTTTTATGCCTACTTTAAGACCCTTAAGCAGTGAATGCTTTGTGGCTGATCACGTGCAATTTTTGTAGAACTGGGTTTGTCCATATGGGTTATGGATATCTAATACACTTCTGTGGCTTAAAATGGTAGTTCTGCTCTGCCACAGTACAGCAAACAAACTCTTTGTGCTGGTTAAAGCAGAGAAAAATGAGTATGGTTTGAAAGGCGCAAATCATACGGTTTTCCTCTGGATATTTAATATAGGCAAACCTGTACAAAAGAGGGCAGTTAGACTATTTTCCATACATTTGTGTGGATCCTTCAGATAATTTCTTTTAAATGAGAATTATTTATGAAGGACAGTTAGAACTCAGCACAGCTCGTAGCTGACTTGCTGCAGAAAATGATTGGCTTTCATTCCAGCTCCACAGGAGCTTTTACTGCACAGTTGCTTCTTGGGACATGTGAGAATATTTATTGGGATAATACTGCAGGTGATACTTGTCTGAAGCATGGCTTTTTAAGTTTTGCTCTAAAGGTCATGTGCTCTTCCTAGAAATACCTGTTTTTAATGACTTGTTTTGCTGGGAAGGTAAAATTAATTCATAATCAATGGAAAATTTGTATGAGTCCTTGAGTATAATCAGAACAGCACTAGAAAATAGTGGAGCTACTAGTTAATTTTACAAAAGGAAAGTGCCAGCTTTTAAAACTGTTGTGTACATACTCTGAGAACTAAATGGTATTGAGTTCTTCCTGTAGTAGAAGAAAGGGATAAGATTAAATGCACTGCCTGTACATTAATTCTAGCTGGCAAAATTCCTAATATCTCAATTAATTTTGAAGTGCTGAGGTTTATTTTTAATGTTATATGCTACCAAATGCTAATTTATGTGGTAAAGCTGAAGAGATTGCTTGTGGAGTTGCTGTGAAACAGTTACCCTCAAGTTGCATTCGCTCCATTTGTAATTCCATACTTCATAAAGTATACTAGTTTAGTTTCTAATAGCAAGAATAAGAGTGAAAATACAATGCAAAGATGATAATTTGGGTTAGGTGATTCCCAGAAGCCAGATTTTTGTAGTCAGCACATGTAGTCTCATTTAAATGAGAATAGCAAAGATTTATTTTTACAATAGGTTGGTACATTCCACATTTCATGCCATAGACCACAGTGAATTTGTAGAAATTTTGTTGTATGTTGGGTTTACACATGACCAGTTCTGTAACATATTTAATTCCCTGAAAATGACAGTTCCTTTTAGAAGGAATAACGTCTCAGCAGGGCTGATGAATGTTTACTTGACTGCTTTTTGTGTTCATTGTACTGTTTTGTGTGATTATTTTACCTTAATTTGAGTAAGCTAGCCTTTAAAATGCTGCTTTGGTGTTGTGTGCAATAACCCTTAAGGGCCAGCCAAAATGTTTCCTTGTTCCTGAAGGCAAGCATAAGTTTCTTTCTTTTTACTGTCTTCCTCATCTCTGGATTTGTCTGTATGGTATTCAGTTTCACTATATAAAGCACTATTTTTCACCCACATAGCTTTTTCACCCACATGCTGTGTTCATTCACAGCAGAGGGAGAACGAATATGGCAAGGGAATTCTAAAATAGGAAGGAAGTGGGGAGGGGAAAGATCACAGCAGTTATGGGGTTAAAAACCCTTCGGGGCGGGTGTGGGGGGTAGTCCAGTATTAAGGCATACTACCCTGAAGCAGGATCATGTAGAGCTCTTTGCCTTTAGTTTTGAAAATCTTCCAGTTCAGACTATGAAAGATAAGTACAAACAAGCAGTTTCATGTGCCTAACTTGTGTGTCTTAGCAGTTCTTCATACATCTGACTTGATCTGGCTCAGAGTTTACGTTCACTCTTGAAAACTGAGCATTTAATGGGATTATAAACTTTCTTCGTGGGGTGTTGCAAGCCTCCTTAAAAAGCACTACTGAAAAAGCTTGTTACATGTTTTAAGATAAAGCTTTTCTTTTGTTCTGGCTATGAAATTTATTTTTGTGTGCATTTTCTCCAACAGGGCAAAATCTCTGATCAAGTTTACAACTATCCAGAGGGCTTAGGAGAAGTGCTTTATAGAGAACAGTTCGACTTCAACGCTGAGCCACCTTGGGAACCTAGCTGATGATAGTAGGGTTCCATCTCCTAACTTGTCCATGTAAGTCTTTTTGTCTCTCATCATCTGTATGCAGGAGGGTAAGCACTTCCCAAAATACGAATAGCATGTATTGGCTTCTAGATAAGCAGGATGACTGTCTTGGTGTAGATTGTCAAATTGTAAAATAGCAGCCTGCATATTACATGGGGCTTTCATTCAAGGCAGGGACTATAATTTTTACTTACCTAACACTTTTCTCAGCAGAGTTATCTGATGAATTTCTGAGACTTAAATGTGTGAGTAAACTTTGTAATCAGAGTTACTTTTCTGAATTAGGGCTGTTGGCTGCAGAAATCCTAAAATAAAATGCTGTAACCTCAGTCTCTCAGTGGTAATTCTGAAGTCATGAATTAGCATTGCATGACTGTTAACATCAAATCATGATTTTCTGAGTACTGTGTGATTTCTTAGGGTGTTTTATACCGAAATAGTTAAGATTTGCTATTGTGAACAGTAACTAATGCTGATCATGAAGGGTGTGCCTTCCCAAATGCCTGTCTCCATTATTTGCTAATTACTATCCACTTCCACAAATAGTTGTAGCTGAGCTACAGTAGAATGTGGAATTCTCTGTTGGATGGAAATAGTGTACCAATTATAAATGACTTTACATTTTTAAGAGGCAAATAGTCATTAAAGAAAAAACAAAACTCATGATAACTGGAAACAAATGAATGCGCATAGCTGATCTTAAGGAACACACAAGTGGAATGTATGTGGTTATCCTGTTCTGTTAACAAAAAAGAATAGCTTTAAGTGGTTTTAAACAATAGCCTTAGATGCATTTGCAATATCTGAGTTAAGCTGATTTCATACAGTATTACTTTTTTCCTGTCTAGCTGAAGGCATTTTTGTTTGGCTTAGTAGCTATAAATTATATAATGCTTTTTAATGTAAATCTTGAGAATGAGAATGGTTAAGTGCAGCTAACTCAGCCAGGTACTTTTTAAAGACCTCAAAGAGTCCAAATGCCAGTTGGATTAGTATGTCTCCTAATAAGGTACTTAATGTAGATGACCCTGTCCTTTGAAAGTACTGTAGTAAGGGAGGCACAGGATGAGCTTGGTTTATCCTGGTTTCTGGCTTTATCTCCAGAGGTTATGTTCTTTTTGTTTTGTTTGAAACTTACTCAGTTAACTGTATATATCTGGTTCTATGTAGATGACTGCTCTATTCAAGTGAATGCAGTTAACACTGAAAATTCTCTGAATATCACTGTTATGTTGTAGGTGTCACATGATTTTTACAAGCAAAAGATCTGAGAAAATAGTTTCTGTTGTTCAGTTTCTGAGTTTGGCTCAGTCTTGTATGTGGGTATAACTCTTGCATGACATTTTGCACTTCAACAGGAATAAGTAGTACAGATAGGGAAGGCAGAAAGAATTGTGAATAAAGTGTAAAGCCTTAAGGTACTATACATATATATTAACTTCTAAAACTCTTGTGAAGCAATTTTGCCTTTGAAGTTTTTCTCTTTGAGGAGAAGGGTGTACTGGTACCTTCATTGAGATTACTCTTTCTTTAACTGGTAGGCTCATGTATTGTGGCAAATTGTGCAAGGTATAGTTTGTCCTAGAATGGAAATGCCATTGGATTTGCTGTATTTGTAGCTGAATCTTCAGATCTGTGTGTTTATTTTGAGCTTGGATCTATGATGTGTTCAGTAATAATACACTCTACATAAATAGAAGTAGTTCAGTATTGAATGTAGTGGTGATGTAGGTAGCAGTAGTTGGCAAGTGTTTGCCAGTAAATCTGTACCTGTTTTGGTGTGCTGAAGCACAGGTAATTGCCTCAAACACAGGTAAGATGTGAGCTAGGCAGCTAACTTGTAGTTGGAGTCCTGTTCAACTTGCAAAGTGATTTAATGGGAAAAAGGTCAATTGAGCTTTTAAATACAATTATTAATATTATGTTGCAGTGGAACTCAAATGAAAATCTTCTGTCTGAAGGTGTACTCGCATATGTTCCCATTAAACCTGCTTCCTTTTTATAATTATCTCCCTCCTGCTTTTGTCCTTGTACTACACTGGGCAAGGAAGAACTTGGGATTTAGCTCTGTCTTGCTCTTCAAGCTCTGACTTCCTGAGCAGTCTGGCAACTGCAGCCTGAAGTCTTGCTTCTTTTGAAATCTGTTCTGTTTATTGCCACATCTGGTTGATCGGAAATGCGGGGAATTAGCAATGGAAACCTGATCTAGTAATGAGCCCTGTCTATGCCAAGTGGAAGCAGTAGTTATTTGGACTGGCTAGCCTTTAAAGCTCTCTTGACTTTGTCTAAATGGGACTCGTTGGCAATGGGGACACAGGAGGGCTGGGAGTTTGGAGGGCTGGGGGGCAATGGGGAGACCAAATACTGATATTGGCTAAGCAGGTAAGAGGATAGGATAGGGCAGTAAGTAACTGTGTGCACTGTCAGGAGAGAAATGCTGGTATGGTACCACAGAAGTATACAGGCATTTACAAGCGTAAGTATTTTTAAGTATTTTTCTAGTATACCTGTTCTGTGCTTAACTGCTGCTGTTAGTGACAAAACACTTCTACTTTTTTGATCTGTTACCCCTGAACGAGTATTGTAAGGTATGTGAGATGAATGTATTTTATATCTTTATGATTTTTGCATCAGCATAATTAACTTCATAAATATTTAGTTTGCTTAAGACATGCAGTTGAAAGGCATTATTGGGAGCCCACTTGGTTTGCAGAGACTTTGCTCTTTGCAGAGGAAATTTTTAATGCAAGAACGAAACCTCAAGGTTGGGTGTTTTTTTCAGGCCAAACAATATAGTTCTGACAATGTAAAGAAAAAGATTGAAAATTATGTGTTTGTTGTGGATGCCTGTATATGACAAGTATGTGTTTAGTCACTTTTCAGAGCATTTTAATTTTCTTCTATTCCAGGTGTCTGCATTAATTGCAGTGTTTAAATATGTAAATTTTTATCTTAAAGTTCTTCATCTGGGAAGTCATTGTGTTAAACCCTAAAGAGCCTGAGGATGTGATGCTTACTTCAAAGAAAGCAATTGCATGCCTATGTAGAAGTCTCATACCACTTGACAGCTTTTGTTTGCCCTAAAAATGTATGTCCTGGAGCACTGTGCAGACTAACATTTCAGGTAGTAAAATGGGTGGTGTTACCACACTACGTCTGTCAAATCATGACTTGCAACAAGTCAGCACTTCCAGCCAGAACTGAACTCTGTACTGTAATGATTTCTGACTCTTCTTGCAGACACAGAAGAAGTCTTAAACCATCCTCTCTATTTCCTTCTGCATGTATTCATTTGATCTTTCACTAATGTCGATTCTCTTCCCCTCTCAGGAGGGGGCCAGTCAGAACAAGAGTAAGGTTACAGCACAATCCCAAATCCTACTACAGGTGTTAACCCCTTAAAGATTTCTCAAGTATGCACTGTCTTGTTGTAGTGCTGTAGCAGTGCTGGTAGGAACTTCAGTTTTCTTTGTAGAATATTCTCCCTATCTTGTTGTCAACAAGACTGAAAAGATGTAATTTCTTCCAGAGCAGGAGAAGATGGAGAAGAATGGGCTCTGACTCTGAGGTCAGAAGTGTGTACGCTAATATTAGGTTTTTTTACTAGATGAATTTTGCTAAATGAAAAAGCTTAGGTATTATGGACATGCTCAGAAAAAGCAATCACTGTTTAGCAGCCTGGGAGAGGTTATACTAGGTTGTTTATGGTTTGTTGCAAGCTATTTTATTAAGCCTGTATTAGCGTGGATTCCTTTTCGTCCTTGCCTCTTGACCGTAAGATGCTTCTGGATGAGTGGACTACAAGTGACAATGTCTGTTTTCATCAAAGCTAACAAAACTCTTGCTGCCTGATTAATCCTTGCTGTTGTTCAAAGTTGATGTGGTCAGTTAGTTGAGTAAAACACAAATGTCTTTACTGTTTTTTATGGAGCAGCCTGCTCATCTGAAACCAATGTGTTTATTTCTGCTCTCAAACATAGATTTTTTTTTTTCTTAAAATCTTTGCCTTAACTTCAACTTACTCTGCTAACTTACCACATAAGTGTTCTCTTTGTTGCTGTTGGTTTTGGGGAGTTAATGGTGAAGAGGCCTCTTCCCCCCTGCTTTACTTAAACCAGTTCTCCCCCTCCTCCCCACAGGATTGCCCCAAAACCAAAAGGGCAGCTTTTGGAGGAAGGTATTCTTCTATATCATCTCTGTCTGAAAGCTGTAGACACCACAGTCATTAACTATGAGAAAAACATTTCTTTTAAGAGTACTACAAAATTAGCTTAACTCTACTCCCATGTAACTCAGATAAACACCAAGACTCAAAGAAGAAAGCTAGCTGTCCAGACTGAGTTTCTTAATTTGAAATACAAGGCACAAGCAATTGCCCTTCAAGGGGGAGTGTGTGTGTCTGGTGAGCCTAAAAATCTCTTCAGTGCTGTGGCAGGTTCTACTGGGTGTATTGAGACCTCACAGCAGGGCAGATGGGAGGTGTGAATTCATCCAGTGGAAGGGACTCCTGACTATCTGCATGCTTCAGAGTGTAGGAAGTGGCTTGTACAGGCGTAAAAAAGAAAAAACAACCAAAACTTCAAAATCTAGCTAAGTAGTACCCTTATATGTACAGTAAATCCTTAAAAATGCTTTAGTTTTGCCTTCAGACTTTTTAACAGGTTTGTACAGTATGTCAAGGAATTGTGAGCTTGCGATCAGAAACACAGAATTTTTCCAACTTGAATAAACAATAAAAAGAAGCTCAGATATGAGGCTTCTGCCAACTCAATCACTTCTCACTTGCATTTGGTTGCAGATACTTACAATATTTAGTGATTGGTTGTGAGTGGGGAAGGGGAAAAGAGGAACTGGGATCATGGAAGCTCTTCCTGTACAGAGTTACTGTGTCAAAATGTTGCCACTGAGTTTTGTTGAACTTTTTCTGAAGTCATAGGACAGATTAGAAGTGTCCTAAAAGATGTTACAGATTTAGATGAGGCATAGAAGATTTGTCCTCTGTGTCACAAAAGGACTAAAAAACTTGTAGCTTTTGAATGGTTAATAGATCTGCTACATTTGAATAATATGCTGAAAATGGCAATCACTTTGCACTTGTGTGTGTTCAGTGTGGTTGTTTACTTATTCCTCTCTTTGGGTATTTTTCTTGCAAGAAGGCAACAGAAGAGCTATTATTGTAGAATAGAAGTTTAATGTGTTTATTACACAACCAGCAAGTTCCTGGGGATGCATAAAGTACTTTAAAATGCAGTTAAACATTAGGCTGTTTTAGGATAATTCCTTTATACTATAACTTAATTCAATTCTGTTGTTAGCTTTTTTCTTTTGATCTTCACTTTTTGGATACTCCAGAACTATATCAAACTTTCAGTAAAGTCCTGATGCTAGCTTTTCTTTCCAGGAAAAAAAAAAACAAACCTTTTTTGGTACTCCGCTCCTGGAAATTATGGATATTTTATGGAGGTGGATATGTTGAGGACTTTGTGCTAATCAGCTAGCAAATCAAGGATACTGATGAAGTTCCTGTTCAGAGGGTGACAGTAGCTGCGTAAACATAACTGTGGTGTTCATGTTTGTTTCACTGATTCAAAGTCAAACTTAATTCACAAGCTTGCCCCTTTTGTTTGGTGGTGTGTTTTTTAAGGAGTTCTAGCTGTTACTCACAAACTTAAAACTGAGATGTGACAGACTGAAGATTATTTTCCTGGTTATTATAGTGCCTACCACCTAATCATTGTTTTTATGATTGCAATTTGCTTAATTGTCACATTGATGTAAGGATTTATCTTGCTCTTTCATGATTGTTTTGGATCTTTTACTTAAATAAAATACTTGTCTCACTGTATGTGAGAGACAAGTATGTTCTTACCCAGCATACCTGTCTTTATCATTAAACTTGTGAATGGAACTGAAAATTGTCGCTGCCACAGAGTTAAATTCACCTGGCAGTAAATGCTTCTCTTAAACATAGGTGGCATACTTGAGTTGCGCAGAAAGCATACAAAACTCTGCTGGCTCTTTTCCCTATTATTGGGTGTAATAACAAGCAGGAGCAACTGTTGCATAGTTGTCTTGGTATTAGTTTGAGCAAAAGTAACTTTGTTCATATTATTAACAGTGTTAACCAAACTTACTTGCAAGTAAGTGGTGGTGGAAGAAACATGAGACAGAGCTAGTATCATGGCCTTGTGGCTGTGAGGCCAAAATGATCATCTTGGCTTTTAGTCTTGGTGAAGTGTTTTTACCTTCAGCTGCAATGTTTGGTTTCTATCAACACTTCCAATTAGGAAAATTATATTGTTATTTTAAGGCCAAGTACAGGTGGCTTTAGGAAACAACCATCTTTTTTTTTTTATAAATACTATGCAACTTCTGTTGAGAGATTGAAAAAAGTCTTGGGTGTCCATGTAAAGAAGGAATCTAGTTAGCTGGCTGGCTTTGGTCAGTCTTGTGTTCGTCCTAAAGATGACAGCTGAAACAAAAAAAAAGTCCAGTCAGTCAATTGCTATAAAGTCATAAGTAATAAATTAGCTGTAGGTCTTGTTTAAAAGCAATGGCATGTAAACTGCAGATTGTTGTATTCATCAAGTAAGGCTGATGAAGGTATATAATGAGCTGTTGGTAGTTCTCTGCTGTCTACCAACTTTTACTTGAGACTATTTAATCCATGTTCTAAGACTGTGTATATTTTAACAATGTTTTCTGTCTTGGGACCTTGTTGATTCATGTTGTCTTTCGGAAAGCACTGCTTATAAACGATACCTAATTTGCAATGAAGGTTTGAGAATAAACAAGAGGAAATAAAGCTGGGCTAGAACTGTTACTTTTTCTTAATACCAGTTCCACTTACTGAGAATAATTGTAATTTTTAAAACTACTTCTAGCTAGTGGCTTCTTTCTGTTAACCTCTACTGAAGTGAAGATTTTTAACTGTTGTAGGTAACTTTATGAACTGAACAACAAAATAAATGTCTAGTAGATAGTGTGTGGAGACAGTGGTTATAAATTAGCATCTAAAAAAACCAGCTTGTTAACATAAATACATGAATTTAACAAATGCCAGTGCTATCAGTTAATCAATAAACAACGGGTTTCCATTAAAAAATGCAGAAATGTTGTATTACAGACAGTCTTCCTGTTGCATACTTGAATAATAATGTCACTTAAGATGCTATACTTAAGAATAGCTGAGCTGAGGTGTTTGTACAAGTATGCTACACTTGCAGTATTTTCATAGTTTGAGTAAGATCAGCACAGATTAGTATGCATGCAGACTGGGATGCTTCTCAAGAACAACCTTGCATCAGTGGTTTCTTGCTTGTCTTTTAGTATCAGATTTGAAGTATGCAGCTTCTATTTTATTTTTGGTTTCAGTAGAATTGCACTACCCTTATCCCTGGCAAATGGAGGGTGGACTGAGTGGGGGAAAAAATTATTTTTGTAGAGTGTATGTGTTACTGTTTGTAGTACATCAGCTATAGAAAGCTCTTTCTAGTGTTTAAATAGTGGCATAGTATTCTTTGTGCATCTTTTCCCATTGATTTGTGTTTCTTTGTACAGTTTGTTGCATAATTTAAGGACCCGGATATAAGGCTTGGAAGCCCATCCCTTGTGTTTCTTGGTTTATGACTGTCGGCTTTGTGGAATACGGCTGAGATGAAAGGATTTCTTGAGGATGCAAATTACTCCATTGGCCTGTTGGATGAAGGAGCAACTCTTGCAGATGTTATTGACAACTGTATTTATGAACATACTCACGTAAGTTTTGTAAGTTTTCCAAATCTTCTGGTTTAGTTTTCTAAGTCTTCAAACTAGGTCAAGGTATTTACCACTGATGAGCTGACAGCAACAGAGGAACAGTCAGCTCAAACTTGCCTTAGAAAGTAATTTTGTGTTCTAATTCTACTTATTTGCTGTTTGTTTACCTTGGGCTGAATTCTCTTGGGGAAGTTTGGGCAACAGTTCTTGCCTCCCCGAGTCTGGCTATCAGGAACGTAGTCTTGCTGGTGTAATTAAATATAGGTTCCCATCTCATTGTTTGAAGAGATTTTATTATCAATGGGGTTTAGACCAGAAAACTGAAATTGGGCAAGTGGATATTGCTGAGTTTTTGCTCTTTCC